GCAGATGAAATACGATAGGCATGCGTGCAAAGACCACTGGCAACTCCTATTGTCTCTCTTCCTCCGCTCCTCCCTCCCCACCCTCCCTCTCCTCTCGTTCGTCCTCTCGCTCCCCTCGCCCCTCCTGCTCTCTCCCAACCCGCTCACTCCCCCTACCCTCCCCCATCTCCCTCACGTGATCTCTCTCCCTCGCCCTCTCCTCTCCTCTGTTTCGCTCACTCGTGGCTCTTGTCCCAATCCCCCATCGCCATCCTCTTCGTGTCCTTATCCCTTCCTTCCTGCCTTCCTTGACCATCTCTGACCTGATCCTTCTCTGCTTCTCCTCCTCCTCCTCGCCTCTCCTCCTCCTCTTCGCCTCCTCGTTCCTCCTTCTCTCATGTCTACATGCGCGTGCTCCAATGCTCCCACACCCCGACCAGGTGCTATGACCCCACCCTATATGCTCCACCGGAGAGGGTTGTGGAACCCCACACTTTAGCCTCTCTCTCATATCATGATGACCGGTACTTCTATATTGTACCCCCTTGAGATGTCTAACCCACCCTGCTTTGCTGGGTTTTAGATCCACGGCAGTCACCTCAGTGACTCGCCAAGTTCCGCCGGCCCTGGCAACGGACCGGGTCGCCGGCCCGCGCCGCCGGGCGGCCGGGCGGCCGCCGCTGCGGTCCACTGCTTGATCGGACCGACGGGCGGGCGGGCCGGGCCGCCGCGGGCCGGGCCGTACTGAGAACAGCGGAACTGATTCAGGGTTTACAAGGACTAATTCGATTCTTAGTATTTTCTTCATCTTTAGTAGGATCATGGCACTCAGTGACTCTTGAATGGAATCCGACTTCTCTCTCCGGGCCTCTCTCTTCTTCTCTCTCCCTCTCTCTTATCTTATTCTCTATCTCTCTCCGAGTCATGCCCTGCATGTCCGGGAAGAGTCTTCTTCACAATGGACAATCCAAGTTGAAACTGAACTGACAAATTACTACTAGCATGACAGTCTACTAAACTCGGTCTTGAGCAAAAACTGTCTTGTTACAACTAAGGTCGATATGGTGTCTGCATTCAACTTTGGCACAGTACACCCAGCCACAATTTGTTTTGATAATGATTGATCTTCGAATGTTCTCTAGGCCGAAAAACAGAGGCTATTGACCGGACATGCAAGTTGCCGGAACTTACACTTGGAGCTAATTTGATTCTTATTTTCACTTGATCTTTGAGTAGGATCAAATGGATCTGGCGGACGCGGCCTCAGTCCGAAGTTGTCAGACTGTCTGACTCCGTCTGATCACTGTCACCCGAAGTTCAACGGTTTTTAATCATGCAGAGACAGCTCGCCTCAGTGATTCTTTTAGTGAGCCACGGGGGCAGAGACTGTGTAAAAACCTGGCTTTTTTAAAATAGGGGGCCGAACGTGATGGAGGGAAATTGAACGAGGAGAAGGACAAGAAGGAGAAGGAGAAGGAGAAGGAGAAGGAGAAGGAGAAGGAGAAGGAGAAGGAGAAGGAGAAGGAGAAGGAGAAGGAGAAGGAGAAGAGCAAGACAGATTCTCAGGAAGGAGAGAGTGGACAGTTGGAGGGACGTATCAGCGAGCAAGTCCAGACATAAAGTCTGATCCCCCAGGATCAAGATGTGCTTTAGAGAGTTCATGGCAACCAGATCATTTCATCTGCTCCTTTCTCTTCTCTTCTTCGCAGAGCTGTCCTTCTCATGTGCTGCATACATGATCAATGCTCCGCTGTCTTCTGGCATCTTCAGCTCAGCATCCCCAGCCAGACTACGAGGCATACCAAGAGCTCGAGCTCCTCCATCGTCTCTGGCCAATAATCTCTTCATGAGGAGGAAGAGGAAGGGAGATCAGCGGAGCCGCTGGGAGACGCGCCATGTATCCGACTCCGTGCATGCCCCACAGCCCGCGGTGGACGGCATGGACGCAGGACAGACGCGGGCGGCCAAGATTGAGGCAATGGCAGCAAGACGACAGTCAGGGTTGATAGTGGTGCTCGAGGACGCGTCGGATGCTCACAACGCAGGAGCAGTGATCCGCAGCTGCGACGCGTTCGGAGTGACGGAGATCTGGTTCGTTCACAACGGGATCAAGGAGGGGACGAGCATGCGACCGTACGTCGAGTCAGGACGAGCGTTCGACCCGGAGTCGCACTCTCTGCAGGAAGCGAGCTCCTCTGCAAGCAGGTGAGAAGGGAGGGAGGAGAGAGAGAGAGAGAGAGAGAGAGAGAGAGAGAGAGAGAGAGAGAGAGAGAGAGAGAGAGAGAGAGAGAGAGAGAGAGAGAGAGGAGAGAGGGAGGGAGGCAGGAGGAGGGAAGGTGGAGGAGGAAGAGAGGGATGTAGGGGCACAAGAGGAGTGACCGAGAAGATAGAGTCCGATGCTTCCTCCTGTGAAGATTGAACGCCACCACCAGCTGGTTGCCTCCAGTCAGTCGAGGGGAGCGAAAGAAAGAGGGAAGGGCATGAAAGAGAAGAGGAGGAAGAGGGAGGGGGAAGGAGAAGGAGTGAGGTGATGGGGAAGAGGGACGAGGAGCGAGGAGATGGGGAGGGAGGACAAGGAGGGAAGAGGGAATAGGAAGGAGGAGGAGGAGGAGGAGACCGGTAGTCCTCAGCACAGAGATGAAGGTAGCAAAGAATCATGCAGATCTGAAGGAAGTCAGGGTGCAAACGAAACTTTGTGATGGTTGAAGTCGACTCACCATTGCTGATGATGCGATGAGGACGAGGAAAACCAAGAAGAGAAAGCCGAACAAGTAGTAGAAGCGATGCTGTGCGAGCAATCAGAAGATCGTGGTGATGGGGGAAGAAATAGGCGGGGGGTGGTTTGTAAGGAAGAAGACAGGAAGAGGACGAGGAGAAGGAGGGG